ATAAAACAATTTTTCAAAATATAAGGAACACACAAGAGAATCCAAATATTTTTCAGATGCATTTTGTAGTTATCAGAATGGATAACATGAACTTGTGCAATTTGATCGGATTCCTGGAATAAGATCTTATTGAAGAGAATCTATTTCTAACCGATCTAATCAGACATTTCAGATTGATACTTTAGAATTCCACTAAGTTTCCATGTGCATCAGGAAAACGTTCAGGATCCTTTATACAAAATAATTCTAAATTCAGATTTACTGCAAATGATTCCATTACCCAAATAATCAGGGGTATTCAGGAATATATTTTGAATTCATAGGATTTCAGCCCAATTGAACTAAATGAGCTATTCATAATCTTTTCCTTCCGCGTTACTTGCGTTTTCAAACATGACCGAAGTGATTTTAGATGAAAATATAGAATTGAAGATTCAAGTCATTTACAATCTATGACTATCGATTGTATTATCAAACAACTCGAGTTATAAAACTCCCAAACTGATGCATGCCAACAAGTAAATTCATTATCCTTCTAATGTATTCACTCTTTAATACCATAATACAGATCCATAGATCATCCCCATAATCATCGCTGAATAGATCTCACAACTGTCTTTATTTCATTTCCATGTTTCAACGATATCAGGAAATACGGACGTACTTGATTCATGGTTCATAACCCATAAAGATAATTCATCATGTAGGTTCAACAGTGTTTCCAGACTCATCCAAAACACTTATTTAATCCTCATTCATTGAGGTTATTTAGTTCATTTAACAATCATGTCTATTCTTGTTACTTCAGAGTTTTCCAGAGTAATTCAGACGTTTCTGAATTCCAAATACATATTGCATTTCCATTCAGTTCAATTTAGTCATATACTAGAGTCATTCTAGTATTGGTGGTTGATTTATCTTACAGATATACATTACTTACTATCGAATATGCTCTAGCGTTGAGTTGAGTACTTCCAAAATTATCATCAATTCAAACTTGAGGAAACGAACAAGCATTCAAGTGGTTTCTATGCCATTCAAGTATTGATACAACACTAGCATTGGTTGACCGGCTTAAGTTGTGTTCCATAATCTTTACGAGCAGTACAATATCCATGTTTATTTGAATTTCTTAAATAATCCAAGACATTTACTTAGTCTAGGACATAAGGGTATTTTGGTAATTTTGGTGCTCAATGATCTTCCATTAATTTCAAAGCTTGATGATATTCATTCATTCCTGGCTTGGTGATATTCTTTAATCATTTCCATTACAGGGGTATTTTGGTCATCTCACAGATCTAGAATATTTCAATCATTTCCTTCCGTCCGGTCTTATTATTTAATTCAAACTTATCATTTATGTTAGTCTCTTCGAACTATTCCGACAAAATATCACCATCGATAAATTATTATTTTTCATGTACTTACTCAAGTAAGAGATTTCCAGGTTAAATGCCTTTTCAGATTTTACTAACGGATTATCAGGAATTTTCCATATAAAAATAGGATCTCAACAATCAAATCAATAATTTATCGGTTTAAAAACAAATTCTCATATTACTTCCTCATTCAGAGTCAACTTGGACTATTTTTACCTCTCAAGGGCATTTTCGTAATTTCTTAACCAGATACTTTCAGTATTAACTCTTATAAAAAATAATTATACTTTAGATATCCAATGGTTAATTGTTTTTCCGAACGTTCTTTGATCTCGAAAAGATTCCTTAACAGACTTCTAGTATCTTGTACAAACACTTTTGGGGTTAAAAACCAGGTATCCAAATTTTCTAAGCAAAACTAGCATTTCTTTTGCACATCTTTAATTTTATTGGATCAATATATCTTTTCAGAGTTATTAACCAACTTCCAGGAACAATTATTATCATCTTACAACATACGGGTATTTTTCATAATTTTACCCTACCGGAGTATTCTCATAATTTCCCATCCAAGTACCTTTAACATTTAACCTTTGATTATATGCTACAATTCCATGATAATACCTTTATCACTAATCACAGAACTCATAATTTAATTCTAACAATCCATCCATTTCTTATATCACTCATCTGAGGCATATTCATTTACCGAATTTTTACTGTATCCGAATCGTGTGTAGAACTTCATTAATTACACATATGAGACCAAACATTTTCATTCATGCATTTACCAATACCAACATGTTCCATAAAGCATGAAAAGGTAGTAATGTATTACCTCGATTTTCGTGCCATACTGATCAACCATATAAATTCCATTTGAACGCCCTCGATCTTGAAATCATCTTCCAATATTTCCTTGGATCCATATCAACAGAAATTACATTAAAAAACAGAGCTTAATTTTGAAAAACGGATCGATTCGGATGATAAATCAGTGAAAAACAGCTTACCGAGTTCGAATTTGGCAAAACGGACTTTGGATTCGAATTCAGGACGTCGAAAGCATAAAATATGACTTTTCAAAAATGTGGAATTTTCGGTCAAAATCAAAGTCAACGGGTTTGACTGGAAATTGCGTGGTCTTCAGATCCGAATTTCGAAAAAAGGACTGCGGAATCGGATTTGGAACGTCGAAAAATGTCAGGATAGGTATACTCGGTCAAAGTCAAAGGTCGTTTAATGCTCGGTCAAAGCCGGTCAAACTTCTGGTCAACTGTGGTCAACGCCGGTCAACGATCAACAGTCGACCATTTTACACAAATATCACCCTAACTGGAATTAATTACCAAATTAGCCACATTCTGTAAATATTTATGAAACTAACACCCAAATTTTACACAAATAGCACTCAAACATAATTTAATTACAAAATTATCACCCAGACGTTACCCACTCTCGGGGGTGGCGCGTGCGGTGCTTGAACAGTGATACGGTGTCGAAAAATTCACGGAAAAATTCTTAAAAGTTATTTTTAGCGATTTTGAGGCACTTACAAAGCTCGTTCAAAATTTTGAACGGCGAAGAGCTCGATTCTGAAACGTCATAAACTTTGACGGCCTCACCCCTCCATGCGTCGGTGACGACGGAGAAACGGAGAACACCGGTGGACTCGGAACAATGCAAGGAACACGATGGTGCGGGAGGTGTCGTAAACGGATGACCGAATCATCGTGAATCGACGAAAAACCAACTGAAATCGAGTTATTTCTGACGATACTTCCGACTAAAATTAACGACAAACAACGACGATTCACGACGAAAGGTTTGAGGGGTTTTGTTCCTCGGTCGACAACGAACACGATGGTTGTTTCAGATCGTCGGTCGGAGGTCGGACGGCGAGTAGATCGAAGTAGGGTGAACGGGGGAGGGAAATGGGGGAAATCTGGAAACTGAGCACGGGTGGGGGGAGTTATATTTCATCATATATAAAAAATGGTTAAATCATGAGTTTAGTCAATGAACTTCCAGCACTTCTTAAAATGGTCTGTCAACTTTACAATTTTACAATTTAATCCATAATTTCTTCCAAAAATACCAATTAAATTAACCACTTTATAATTTCTAAAATTTAGCCCCTAAATTGGAGTGTTAGATTTAACTCAATTTAGTCTTCTGACTACAATTGTTTATAAATTCTTTCTTCACATCAATTCTTTAATTCCTTTATAATCACATCGATCTTTTACCCTCAAAATACATTATTTGAAATATAATATTGTAAATATATTTTATAATTTTAGGTTGTATGTGATATATTAAATAATATCATAATGTGAAAAGAATACGAAGAAATATATATATATATATATATATATATATATGGTTAGAGAAAGTAAAAAGTTTGTAACTAATTTGTATCGTATACTATAAATAATTATAATCAAATTTGTGTAGAAACTCGAACAACTCAACTCGACTTGACTTACAAAAATTTCAAGTTATTTTCGAGTCATAAAATACTACTCGCCTACTCAAATAGATTAATTTTTTAACTCGAATCGTCTCGACTCAATGTTGACCCTTAAAACATTTGCTTAACTCAATTGTTTAACAATAAACCAATTGAAAGCTATATGACTAGTTAAATGAGTGCGTTTAGCAAACTAATTCGGCTAATCAAACATAATAATAAAATTATATAATTAAAATAGGATAATGAAGAATAATACAAGCATATACAAATTTATTTATAAAACCTGCAATACAATTAATAAAATATGTGAAATATCAAATTTTAAGTCATATCCATAAAAAAAAGATAATTTATTATACATAGGCAGGCCATCAAACATTGGCATGAATTGTTTGCTTGTCCATTTCACACACATAAAATTCCCTCTTTTATTGAAATGGATCGAAAGTGCTACGCTAGGGACAAATATATTCTAAGAAAATTTTAAATTTTTATACAATTCAAATATATTTTTAATACTTTTATGATTTAATTTCATATTTTTTTAAATTTATATAATTTTAAATCTTTAAAATTTTAAAATAACATTTTAGAATTTCGTTCTAACCTTCTACTCCTACTATTGATGTTATTGTTTTACCTTCCAATTCAAAGGTATCCAAACTCATTTCTAACATTTAATGTCTAAGTAATTAGCAACAACAAGCCACAAGGAATGAAGCATTTCAATCAATGACAATACACATTACTCGGATCGATGAGTGTTAAAGTATCTATGTATATAATTGTTAAAGGATCAATTATGTTTTTCATCACTCAACTTTGTATGTATTTTTGTTTTGATCAATCAACTGTAGAAGTTTTCAATTTGATCATTCAATTTTCGATTGCTCATGTTTTAGCCACCGTGTCATTAAATAATTAACAAGTTATGACAGAACTGATGGAATCTAAAGTTGTATACAAAACCAAGCGTTTATGGAATCTAAAGTCTAGTGTTGAACAATTGTTCTCCGATAATGAAGAACAGATGAAGCCGGTGGAAGATGAACAAAGGCACTCAAATCAATTTTCAACGACTCACTAATGCAAATCAAAATCATGACAGCAACAATGATTATGGCTCATGGAACCTGAAAACAGAAATATAACGGAAGCTAACCGATCTTCATGTTTCGATCTTTACACAACATGTGCCATTCCAGCAGCACAGCAGCTTGAAGAGCACGGTGCTCGGCTTCTTTTAGCTTCGACAGTGTTGAAGGTCCTTTAGGTTTACCATCTTCCTCGCCTTCTTTCTTCTTTTTATCTTCATCTTCTTCGTCTTCGCTCTCATCCTCCGATTTATCATCAGTTTTTGGAGTTTTCTTTGGCTGTGCAGCCTTTAACAAGGCTATACGTTCCATTGAAATTCGAAGCCTCTCAGCGGCAGCCACCTTCACTTCATCTTCAGGCATGTATTCAACACCCCCGTCAGTCAGATCATCCAACCAATCTTGTGGATCCGATTCAATATGTTTAGTGATCGATGCATCAGAAGCTCGGACTACAAATTTGTACATCATTGTGGTTGTTTCATCACCCAAATCCACATTTCTGCTCACTTCACTAGCTCCAAAAATCATCATGCCCAAGAAGCCTCCATGCCAAGTTTTTGCAGCATAGCATAGCTGTTACATGTTGGGGTTAATGACTAAATTTGTTTTTATCACTAGACAATTTTTGGGTAATAAACTGCAAATCCAGACCGACAATTAGAACATATCAATAAAACAGGTGATTTAAAGATATCCAAATGATCCTACCTGAAACCCAGCCACAGTGCGAATAATGTGCGAACAAACTCTATGAAAAGGCTTGGAATACAACGATTTCAGTCCACTCGAGAAAGGAGATGACCCATACTGCTGTGCAGCGGTAGCCTTGAAGCCGCTTCCTTCGTAGATATATGTGCCAGTGTATTCCACAATAGCTGGCAAACTAGGCCATAGACGGAAAAACTCAACAGGTGAAATTTTATGAGGCAAGAGAAGCTCAGTCAATGGAATCTTGTAAGGCTGACACCTCAAAATCACAGGTTCTCCAAGTTCTGGCCTTAAGCTTCTCTTTAGCCTCATAATTTGCGGATCCTCTTCAGAATAATCGCCATCATAATCTCCCACAGTCCCACTTCCAAAGAACGGGTAGTATAAGACTTGAACCAAAAAGCCACATCTTTAAAATTGAGAGGCACCTACCGTCACACTGCAAAGCACAGGATCCTGCAAGATGAAACAAATTTTAAGAATGATGTATATGAAATCATAGAACCAGACATTTTTATTTACAAAGATGAGAAGGAACCTGTGAAACAAGATTTCGCAACTGCCGTACTGCTAGAGGAGACCCATCCATAAAATACAAAGAACCAGATAATCCAACCCTAACATCAACCCGATTCAGTTCCAATTCGGTCAAATTTAGGTTTTGATATTCAAGATTTTTAATATTCAAACTTATCTCTTGTGAGATTGTAGCAAGTTCTTGACTTGACTAGAGAGAGTATTATATATTCCAATAGGTTTTGATGATGAAGATGGTTCTAGTTCACAAAAGATACTTTATTGATTTGACATGTTACTTTGTGGTCTCTGTCTATAACTCAAGTTAGGATGGTCTCTCCACTTCGGATTGTAAGTGTTTCAATATGGATTATATTTTTCTTTGATAATAAGGTCCTCTAATGAAATTACTAGTTTTGATAGTCGTCTTGGAGTGTTTGACAATTATCAATTTGATGCTCATTACTTGTGCAAAGTCCTTGGTTTGGGTAGGGGTCTTATTCGGCATTGTTCCTCCACTTGCAACATCCATTATCTTTCTTTTCATTGACAACAAACTTTCGTACAAGTATTAGATCAACAATTGATCGGATATCCCTTGTTGTGGACAACTTACATGCAGTTTTTTGAATCTTTCCAAATAAGCATGAAGTGTTACGGTATCTCTTTGTCGAATCCCAAAATTTTCTCTTCTAATGTTGGCATCTCCTGAAGCGAGAAAGTACACTCAAGGAAGAGTCTAGTCATGTATTCCAAATGTTTACGGATCTAGATAATATATAGTATAACCGATCCTTTGTATGATCAGCTAGAGAGAATGAGAAAGCAAGTAGCTCGACTTGATCTACTATGACTGTTAGGAAATAAACCGAGTACGAGTAATTTTCCTATAACTAGATTAGTGAGAATGCGAAATAAAAGCGGAAAAATAATACCCGAAATTGATAACGGAGTTCAGCCAATTGTGCTTACGTCTCCGGACTGCTGCAGATCTTTTACTAAGAGAGAAAATTTACAGGTGTTTACAAAACACTCACTACTCACAAGAAAGCTCTCTAGTATTGGGAGAAAGAAATGATTTTTGGGATGGTTTTGAAGCTAAATGAGCTAGGGTATTTATAGTTGAAACTTAGGGACTAATCTTTGAAAATACCCTACAGTGCAATGACTAAAGTGAATTTACCTATTCCTATTTTCAACAAATATCTACCAAACTTTGAAAAACATTTTTCAAAGAAACATTTACCAAACTTTGAAAACCATTTTCAAAGAAACATTTACCAAACTTTGAAAACCATTTTCAAAGTTGGTTGCCAACCTTTGGACTTTTAACAATCTCCCACTTGAAGACTGATTTTAATCTGTCTTCACACCTCGATCGATGCAACAACATTTCTAGTCTTGTTATTCTTGCATGCCAACTGAAGCTGAACACAACTTCAGTTTGTCTGTGGTCACCGTCTTTGTCAATATGTCTGTCGGATTTTGAGCTCCACTGATCTTTTCAAGTTTCAAAATCTCATCTTCCAGAAGAGACCGGATAAAATGATATCGCAATTGTATGTTCTTTGTCCTGGAATGAAAAGACGGATTCTTTGCTAGATGGATAGCACTTTGACTGTCGCAATACAAGACATTGTTTTCTTGTTTCTTGCCTAACTCTTCCAAGAAACTTTGGAGCCAAACAATCTCCTTGCTAGCTTCCGTAACAGCGACATATTCTGCTTCAGTTGTGGAGAGAGCAACTATCTTCTGTAGTTGAGGAACCCAACTCACTGCAGTTCCTCCTAGAGTATAGACATACCCTGTAGTGCTCCTTCTGATGTCAATATTTCCAGCTAAGTCAGCATCTACATAGCCTGTCAATATCGTATCTCCACCTTTGAAACAAAGTGCTTTGTTTATGGTACCTCGCAGATATCTGAGGATCCATTTGACTGCTTCCCAGTGTACCTTGCCCGGATTATTCATGAACCTGCTAACAGCTCCCACTGCATGAGCAATATCTGGTTTGGTACATACCATGGCATACATCATACTTCTAATTACTGAGGCATACGACACCTTTACCATGTGTGCACGTTCTTCGTCCGTCTTTGGTGACTGTTCTTTAGAGAGTCTAAAATGAACACCTAAAGGTGTACTTACTAGTTTAGCATCTTGCATGTTGAACCTGGAGAGTACTTTGTTGATGTACTCAGCCTGTGATAACATCAAAGTCCCTGACTTTGTGTCTCTCTTGATGCTCATCCCAAGAATCTGCTATGTAGCACCCAGATCCTTCATAGCAAACTGCTTCGACAATTTTTGCTTCAAGTGTATAATCTCTTGCATGTTTGAGCCTGCAACGAGCATGTCATCAACGTACAATAATAAAATAATGAAGCTATTGTCGAACCTCTTGATGTAGCAACAATGATCTGCTTGGCATATGGTAAAAGCACTGCTACCCATGAAGCTATCGAACGTCTTGTACCACTGTCTAGGAGCTTGTTTTAAACCATACAAGCTCTTCTTCAACCTGCATACCAGGTTTTTCTTGCCTGCCTCTATGAAGCCTTATGGCTGCCTCATATAGATTTCTTCCTCCAAATCACCATGAAGGAAAGTTGTCTTTACATCTAACTGAGCAAGATATAAATTTTCTGCAGCTACAATTTTCAACACCAGTCTGATTGTAGACAGTTTTACAACTGGAGAGAAAATTTCATTGTAGTCAATACCTTTCTTTTGCTGAAAACCTTTGACAACCAATCTTGCTTTGTAGCGTTTGCCCCCATCGTGCTCTTCCTTGATCATGTAAATCCACTTGTTGTGGAGCACTTTCTTGCCTGGTGGTAATTCAGCTAATTCCCATGTCTGATTTGACATAAGCGAGTCCATATCATATTTCATGGAAGACTCCCACTTGACTGAATCCTCCACCTGCATTGCTTCATCATAGCACTATGGTTCACCATTGTCAGTCAGCAACAAGTATTGCAAAGAAGGAGAATAACGTTGGGATGGTTTAGGAATTCTGGAGGAGCGTCTTAGTTCCGGTGTGCCTGGTTCTTCTTGAACTCCTTCAGGACTGATCTGAACATCAATTCCAGAAATCTCCTTGAACTCAACAAATTCCTTTGTTTCAGCTTTGGTATTGGAGCTGCTTGATTCTACAGTTGACCTGTCTTTGTACATCACATTCTCATTGAAAATGACATCTCTGCTTCTGATGATCTTCCGATTTTCATAGTCCCAAAACCGGTAGCCGAACTCATCACCATCATAACAAACAAAGACACATTTGTTGGACTTGGCATCAAGTTTACTTCTTTCAGCAGAGTTTATATGTACATAAGAAATACAACCAAACACTCTTAAGTGTGAAAGGTTTATTTCTTTCTTGCTCCAAACTTCCTCTGGTATTCTGCCATCCAAAGGAACTGAGGGCCCACGGTTGATCAGGTAAGCTGCAGTGTTGATAGCTTCAACCCATAGAAATTTGGGCAATCCGGCATGTATCCTCATGCTTCTGGCACGTTCATTCAGAGTTTTGTTCATGCGCTCTGCTACGCCATTCTGTTGCAGTGTCATGGGAACTGTTGTCTCCATCTTGATCCCATTGTTTGCGCAAAATTCTCTGAATCTATGATTTTTGTACTCTCCTCCATTATCAGACCTCAACCGTTTAACTTTCAGACCAGTCTCATTTTCCACCATGGCCTTCCATTTTCTGAAGGTATTAAAGACTTCTGATTTTTTCTTCAGAAAATAAACCCACACCTTCCTTGCAGAGTCATCGATGAAGGTGACATAATATAATGAGCCTGCAAGAGATGGAACTGGAGATGGTCCCCATACATCAGTATGAACCAACTCTAACTTTTCATCCTTGGGTGTCTTACCAATCTTTGCAAAGCTGACTTTCTTTTGTTTGCCAAAGATGAAATCCTCGCATAGTCCGACATCTACATTCTTTAGATCCGGCATCTTCCCCTTTGACAAAAGTGTCTTCATCCCTTTCTCGCTCATATGGCAAAGCCTTTGGTGCCATAGGTTTGATTTTCCATCAGCATCTGCTACTGCAATAATATTCTCTAAATTTGAGGTTATATAGAGAGTACCAGTTTTCTTACCACAAGCAATGACGAGTGCTCCTTTGGTAATCTTCCATTCACAGCCTGAAAAGGTTGTACTATATCCTTCTCCATCAAGCTGTCCTATAGAAATCAAATTTCTTTTGAGGCCAGGAATATGTCTCACTCTTGTCAGCTTCCAGGTGGTCTGGTTTGGCAACTTTAATCGGATGTCTCCTTTTTCGACGATCTTCAAGGTTTCATCATCGGCTAGATGAACCTTCCCAAAATCACCACTGACATAGTTCTCCATGATTTCTCGGCATGGGGTGGAATGGAAAGATGCCCCTGAATCTAAGATCCATGATTCAATTGGAGTGTTGACGCTTAGAATCATGGCATCACCTGTCTCCTCTGTCATGTTGGCAGATTCCTATGCACCGGTATCTTTCTTCAGTGCTCGACAATCTCTTTTAAAGTGACCCTTCTTGCCACAATTATAACATGTAAAATCTTTCTTTCCTGTTCTTGATTTGCCCCTTCTGGATTTCGATCTGCCACGATTTGAATTTCTTTCTGAAGTTCTCCCTCTGGACTCCGTGTGCAAGGCTGAGGACGTTGATGCTTCACCCGATTCTCTCCGTTAAATTTCTTTGCTCAGTACCAGATCCCGAACATCGTCGAATTTCAATTTAATATTTCCCGACGAGCTGCTAACTGCTGTAACAGTAGCATTCCAACTGTCTGGTAGAGATGATAAGAAAATTAAAGCTCGAACTTCATCATCGAATTCAATTTCCACTGAACTCAACTGGGTTGTGATTGTGTTGAGTTCATTTAGGTGTTGTGCCATCAATGCCCCTTCCGTCATTTGCAAATTGAATAATCGTCTCATCAAGTGCACTTTGTTTGAGGCTGATGACTTCTCATACATACTGGAGAGAGCCGCTATAAGACCCGCCGTGGTCTTTTCCTTTTCTATGTTGAAAGCAACATTGCGGGATAACGTCAGTCGGATAACTCCGAGGGCTTGTCTGTCGAGAAGAGCCCAGTCTTCATTCTTCATGCCCTCTGG